TCCTAACGGTTAGGTTTTTCAAGTAACGATCTCCTAACGATTAGTTATTTCAAGGTACGATCTCCTAACGGTTAGGTATTAGGAAACATAGGAAATATATTAAGCTTTAGCTGTTGTATCACAGCGTGAGACAACCACAATAGAGCTAGGTTCCAACTAGGTGAAAGCCCAAAGATCGAATTGGAATTTAGAAGTTGATTTTTGAGGAGGGAGGAAAACCAGAGAACTCAGAGAAAAATCCTTGAAGCACAGGAGAGAACCATCAAACAACTCTACTCACATACGACACCAAGACCGGCAGGACTCGAACCCTTTTTTCACCCATACACCCCATGAAATCCTAACCCAACCTCTCAAGAGACAGGAATATAGTTTTGTCAGTGAACTAACCTCTACTTTATCCCGTAAGTCTTTAGCTGCGCCCTTGTAGACATCTAATAATAGCTTCATTTCCTTTTGACTTTCTTGGGCTTTCCTGAGAAGGGAAGAAGGTTGTCAGGTCTCCATGAAGGTGTGATAGATGGAGGGGGAAAACAATACTACCATTATCGTTGAAGTGCGACCCCCGGTCCACGGTCGTCAAAATGCTAGTTTGCAAACGAGACTTTGAACTTGGCGGGTCGTACTTCAACGATAATAGTAGTAAATAATGTTAATCGAAGTATTATGATCATGCGGGTGGATGTAGTACTGAGAAGGACTGTTTGATGTGACTGACGTTTCGACAACCTGAGCGGAAGTCATCTTCAGAGTCAAGTGAAGAATAAAGTCCTTCTCAGGATTACATCCACCCGGATGATCATAATACTCTGATTAACATTCATTCACCTGGGTTCAGACCGTTCTATACAGTTAGTAAATAAAGAAGGAGAAGGAGAGCTACGACTCACTTGAGACTAGCCTGTAACTGTTTGACTTGCTCAGAATCATTAGAACTTTTTGCTGGTTCTTCTTCTTCTCCTTCCTCTAACTCCCCTTCCTCTCCTTCCTCGGGTTCTTTGGGAGTTTCTTTACTCTCTTGCTCTTGTTTAACTTCCATTTCTTCTTCGGTTTTTTCTTCTTCTTTTTTAACTTGTTCTTCCTTGGGTTTAGTTTCTCTTAATTTTGAAATCTCCTCCTCCAGCTGAAAAGAAAAAGAAAGAATAGTTATAATCAAAGCATAAGATAAACAGAAGGTCTTGGTCAACTTATCGAATTGTTTTTAACTAGAGTAGTCATAGAGGTCGGAATCATGAAAGAGTATGGTTAACATACAGTTAACCAATCACAGAACGACGGACTACTGTACAGTATATCCAATGATAATGCTCGCCTTAGAAGATACAACCTTGAAATTTCAACACTTTATACTACTGCAAGATTTTTACAGTACACTGAAAAATAAGCCTCCTGTGCAGAAAAACTCCGAATCGGAAATAAGGAAAGAAATTGGGCTTCCTGTGGAAACTAAGAGTTGCCTCTGGAGTAGGCTAGAGAAGTTTCTAACTATAAGGTATTTGTGTGGTTTCTGTACATGCCTATGCTGTTGGTTTGAAAAGACTATTCAATAGTAGGAGCAAACAAGTAAAAGATCTTTCCTACAGTACTACATGGATGGAAGAGCAAAATAAATTCAAACATTCAAAAAATGTTCGTGCATTCAAACCTTCTGAGTTTGTGAAAGGGCCTCGTTAAGCTTTCTTTTGTATCTCATGACTTCTCCTTTCAGCTGCTTGTTGTAGCTCTGCAGAAGTACGGTAAAAACATGAGTTAAAAGCTGTCAAAATGTGAATCACCAATTTTCTAAAGCAACTCTGCAAGAGGAAGGAGGCACTCCTTTTAGGTGTCAAAATTAACAGTCAAAGTTGTAAAATATTTTAAAATCGTTACCCTTTTAGGGTGAAAGGGTCAAAATTGTTTTGACAAGAACACCACATTTTTTCTAGGGGGAAACTGTCACCCTTCCTCACCATCTTCTCTCCTGCTTATTCTTTTACATACCTGTAAACTATTGTTCATGTATGTGGTTTCTTTGATCAGTGGAGCTAAAAGCCAGAGTATAAACAAGGTTAGTAACTGTATCTGTGATGTTGGAAGTTTCAAAAGCATCCAATCCCACCAAGAGTAAAGCACAGAATATCTAAGCTCAGATTTCTTGTATACACAATATTGTAAAACGACAACCAATTTGCATTGCTATTGTTCTGAACTGATTATCCTTGTCTTAATATGGAAATACAAAAGTATTTTTATATTTAAGAGAGGCCAGTCAAATAGTTATTCAGAGAATCCAGAGAAATAGATATTCAAATCGTTTGTCACATTTCGATTTCAAATTGGTGTACATAATGAATTTGGTGGTGGCATTTTTTCTAGGAATTTAGAAAAGAATTCAAATTTTTCTACTTTTCTTCTGTGTTCTGTTGGCACTCAAATTTGAGTCAAACAAAAAACAGCACAACAAAAAAGGATAGATGAAAACAAATTTTGAAGAAAACAATTAGAAAAAAAAACTAAAAATGTTTCAACCACATACCTATACAGTTATTGTAATATACTAATATGGGATGGCTCCCTGTGATCCTAGAAGGTACTGTCCTTGCTTACCTGTTTGTTCATTGGTCTTGGTAGACTGGTCACACTCTATCCTTAGCAGGTCATACTCCCTTTTACAATGTAACAATGCTTCATGTAGCTCATTCACCTCACTTTTGTACTTTTTGTGTGTAGTAATCATATCACTCTGTATAAAATTCAACATTCAAATTATTTTGATACCTTGAAACAACTGCTGGTTTGATCTAAGTCAGGGCAAAGACAGAATGGAGAAGAAAAACTGGAGAAGCCAGCTAGAGAAAAACTCCTTAATTCATAGAAGAGACCTTACTAACAAACTCGACTCACATGTAATGCTGAGCCAAGGAATTGAACCTGGAGACCCCAGAGATGATAGGTGAGTACACTATGACTACACCACTATTGCTTCCACATTAAGGAACAATGCTTGTCATAGAGTATTGCACTAGTATTACTTAAAATAGTGAGTAATATTCATTACTTACTTCAATCTGTTCTAACTGGACCATGTGTTGAGTTTTTGTTGAACTAAGTGTTCTTCTTAGCTCATCTAACTGCTGTCGAGCCTGATGAAGGAATAAAAACATTGAAGGCTAAGGAAAGAAAAGATGGTCGACTTATCTTACTGCAGAAGTTAGCTTGATTATGCTTGATGTACAGCGCACATTGTTTCCGGTTGACTTGGTTAGTGAAAATAAAAGTTGGCTGATTTATCTTGCTTTGTGACAGAAGCCCCATTATGCTAGATTTATATGTATGTTGGGGGACTGGACATACTACTTTTAATGGTTTTTAGGGCTTCTGTGCTTTGCTATGCCCAAGTATGATCACTGAGGATAACATCATGGTCCAATGTACTTAGTACTAGTAAGGCCTTTCATATCCACAATATTCAGATTTGGCCTACAGTTTAGTGCCCTACTGTAGCTTATATAAGCTGGAAACAATATATATCACAGGAAGGAACTAAAGCAAAAATACTTCTAAGGATATAGCGAGTAATTGAACAAAAACTGACTCTGCAATAATAACATACTTACATTGGTTGTTTCATTAAACAAAACTGAAAACTGTGACTGCAAACACTTGTAAGGAGAAGACTGAACTATAGTGGACTCTGGAATCTGGACCGCCTTGAAAGAAAGTAAAAGGTATGGATGTACTATACTCATAAGCAACTGGTCAATGAATAGCAGAAACAAATCCTATTTGACTGGGAAACTATGCTGCCAGTAAACATCAGGACTTCATTATCTTAAAATAATGGACATTTCCTTTGGAAACCAAAATATAGATTTTAAAGCTGTGCTTTGATCAGGTACAAAAAATAGGCAAAATTTTTCAAAAATGTCCAAGAGTTGAGGGCTAAATATTTAGTGATTATATTCATGGATCAACTGACAAATTTCTTTTCGAAAAAGTCATAGTTCCTGTCTAGGCTTGAAGCTTCAGTCTCTCTACATACTGGTCTAGAGGTCAAGAGTCAGGAGCTCGGACTTTTTCTGTCATATATACAGCAGATCAACTAGAGGAAACGCAATGACATTCTAAATCATACCTCAAGTTTTAGTTTTTCAAGCTCCTGCTGTGCTGCTACACAATCTTCTTTGAGTTTCTGCAGCTCCTCTAGTCGATTTTTTGCTAGTTCCTTCAACTCCAAGAGCTCTGAATGTTTTTCATCATCCTCATCCTAATGGGTAACAAAATATATACAGTAAACCACAATAGCTCAGACATATTGCATTAAATCTATATTCCACAACCATTATTTTCCACATACAGTACCTTGATTTCTTCCTTTGCTGGCATCTCTCCTTCCCTGATTTTCTTTCTCATTTCTTCTAGTTCATTGAGTCTTTTCACTAGGTTTTCAACTCGGTGGTTGGCTTTTTGTAAATCATACTCCGAATCTTGCAGCTGAGTGTTCAGCTCTGATATCTCTCGATTGGTCAGCGCATACTTGTCCCTAATTTCAGAAAACTGCAAAGTAAAATGAGAATAAATTGGAAAACCATTGAACCTATCTTGGGAATATGCGTGATGCAAGTCACTTCCACCCCATGAAAGAGTTTAAATCTTTTAATGAAAGTATTTTTTGATATTGCAAAAAAAAAAAAGAAAAAAAATGACTTGGCTAATCTGAAGGAAAAAAAATTTAAAAAAATCAAAAGTGAGAAAATGAAACTTTCTTCTCTTGAAACTATAGATTTCCAGACAACTAATTGATTAAAAAATAATGTTGCTAATAAGTGCTCATTAACAGTGACACAGTAATAATTACTAATGAGTTTAATATTTTTATTTTAATGGTGGGCATGTTTTTAATTTTTTTTTTCCTGGTCAATTTTTACAAGCTTCATGACACCCCAGTTGTGCAGTGCCGTCCTTCGTATGTCACTATATCAGATCAGCTGGTTTTACTTTACCTCAAGAGATGTTGTTTGTTGTTTCAACTGTATGGATGTCATAAGTTCCCTCAACCGTTTGTTATCAGACTTTAGTTGCTCAATCTCTGGTTCCTTTGATGATGTTTCTAGCTCCTCTTTCTTAGGCGTTTCTTCTTGTTTCTTTTCAACGATAGGTTCTGTTTTGCTTGTTCCATCATCAGACTCTGTAAAAATATTCCAATATATTTATATTGTTTCAGTGTGAGAGCTAATAGAACTCTTTAGCTCGTGCTTAATATGTATTCCAGTTTCAGACTATGTGTCATTCTCTTGAGAAAAAAATCTTTGTTTGATTTGTAAATATATTCATGTATCTTCTCATGTGCAACCATTAAACAAAGAAATGATACTCTAGGGAATGACATGTGGTCTGAATGGGAAAATATAAAGCCCAAGTTAATAGGGTCTCTGAGCAACTTGATTTCTGTGTATGGCAAGTCTGGGTATTAAAGTCATGATGGCAGGGCTGATTGGCAACATCATGCAGCAGGGTGCACAAACCATGATTCCCAGTTTTCTTAGTTAGTTACCTTTAATAACTTGACCTTCATCAGTTTCTTTCAGTTCATCTGTTTCCATATCGTCATCTTTAGTTACCTCTCCAGTACTAGAGGTTTCACCAGGAGGAATCACTTGACTACTAGCAGGCACTCTTGGTGGAAAACATCCAGCTTTCTCCATAAACGACAACAAGGTTTTAACACATTGTTTGGAATTAGCAGCTCTTTTGGATACCTCCTCTTTCATTTGCTCTGGTTCAAGTTGAGCAAGATATTCTAGATATGACAATGCAGTGTCATTTAGATCACCAAATTCTTCAGCAGTTCCACTCTCGTAACTTTGACACATGACTGATACATCTTCATCAAGCTGGAAGAAAAAAGTGAGTTTTAAATTGCAATTGGAACTGTGAGTTAATAAATATATAAGTTAGTTGTGTGTCCTGAATTAAGTATACAGCCTGTAGATAATCACAGAGGATTGTTCCAAATATTTGGATAGCCACCAATTTCTGGCAAAGAGTACTACGAAACGTGTGTCCCTAAACATTGATAGGCCCCTATTATCTATACACAGGCAACCAATACCAGAAAAAAATATTTGGTAACAGGCCAGGCTTGGATATTCAGAGTGTGACAGACAGACTAAAAAGTTACTACCAATTCCTAACCTGTGTCCAGTGTCTGTTGATAAGTGACAGAATTTCGTATTCAGCAACTCTTTGTTTTTTGACCTCATCTAGTCGTTCGCGCAGCCTTTCTTCATCTAATTTCATTACTTCAAGTCGTTCTGCAAGTTTTTTGTTTTGGAAGGCAAGAACTTGTATGTTCATCTCATCCTATAATAAAAAACGTTGTTTTTGTTAAAATTCACGATTCTGGATCCAAAACCATTCACTGTAAACCACTGCATCTGTCGTATAAATATATGGTGGCTTCACCAAAATACATACATACATACATACTTTATTCGTCCTCTATAAGGCTTTTCAGAATAAAGGGCCTAATTAATTACAATTAAAATAATACTATATATA